ATGTCTCTTTGATCGTTAACGCATATATACACGCGCTCACGTAAAATCAACTTTATGTATATATATATATATATATATATATATATACTACTTTTGTTTTAATTAATTATAGTAAAATATATATATATATATTTGTTTAATTATTTATAGAAAAATAAAAATTAATTAAATTATGTCCATACGTTGTTTATAGGTACCCATATCGAATTATTTAGAAGGCTTCCTGGTAACAAGATATTTCTATATTTAGTCGGTACAAATCACACATTGCCGAATATAATATTATAGCTTCGCATTTAATGTTTCTGCGAAAGATATACAATTACCCGAGGTTGTTATGTTGTTACGCGATATGCTAAATATCACAAGTTAATGATTTCTTTCGATTGAAAATCAATCGTTAAATATATTTTTTTGTTTTTATTTTCTCTCTCTCTCTCTCTCTCTCTATCTATCATCTCTCTGTGTCTCTCTTTTCTTCTTCTTTTTTCTTGTAAATTTTCTCAACCATGTTTCACGGAAATCGATTACAATGGGGAAAGGAGAGGAAGAGGAGAGAGAGAGAGATGGGGATGGGGTTGAAGTAGGGGGTGGGAAACCATATATATACGATATGCATTTATATACGTACCTGTGATATAACATCGTGGTCGCAATTTGATTTCTTTAAAAAATGACGAATAAAAGCGAAAAGACCAAAGAGAGAGAGGGAGAGAGAGAGAGAAAGAGAGACGTACATATGTATATATATCCATTATGTAAAATAGGGACCAGAGAAAACGGGTTGAGGATTTGGGGAGAGAAGAGAGTGAGAGAGGGATGGAGTTCGGGGTTATTCGTAGAACAGGAGACGTAGCACGCGATCGCGTTCGATTAACGTGTAGGTACTTCGATTATATTTCGCGGGACGATGCGTCGTACATGTAATTAAGCGGCCATTACCGAAAAGCAGGGAACGATAATGTTGAAACGTAACGTACCTAGATCGAAATTATTTGTACCGAAACATTTAATGAAATCATGACGAACGTATCCGATTTTACGGGACGTTCACAGAGAGAGAGAGAGAGAGAGAGAGAGAGAGAGAGAGAGAGAGAGAGAGAGAGAGAGAGAGAGAGAGAGAGAGAGAGAGGGAGGGGGGGGGGAGAGAGAGAGAGAGAGAATCAATAATTGCCATCGATCGCATTTCATATTTCTTTTGAATTTTGTCGTTTACACTGATTAAATAAGCCAAAGTTTGTTCATGCGTTAGCATTAGCCGATAATACCCAGTGATTATTATGAACGTGATTTAACTCCGTTATCTGTATTAATGTAACGTAAAATAAATGATAAACGTTTGTACAAGTTTAATGGTGCGTCTTTGTGATTTAAATTTTTTTTTTTTTATTTAGGCTACTTCTTATCTTTCAAAATTGATTTTTATCGAAATATAATAGCATACAATGATGCTTTTATTATTCATTGAAAATAATCGATAAATAGATACCTTATTTTTCTTCTTTCACCTTTTCTTTTTATTTAATTGCTCGCGTTCCCGAGGAGTATCGTGTGATCGTTAAGTTAAAAAATTTCTGATGCCCTTTAATTTGATAAGAAGAATGAATTTGATTGTCCATCGTTATAGGTATTATCGGAGCCGAACGTAATCGATCGTGAAACGAGCTCGACCTCTACTACTACGTGGGCTTGAAATTAAATTACGGCGTTAAATGGGGGAAAAAAAAAAAAAAGAAAAAAAAAAGAAAGAAACGAAAAAAAAAAAAAAATAATAATAATAAAAAGAAAAAAACGATAATAAAAAGATGACAAAAAGTGAAACAAGAGTAAACGAAAAGAAATAATGATGATAAAAAAAAGGAAAAAAAAAAAAAAAAATAGAAGAAAATAAAGATAAAAGATTAAAAAAATAGTCGCGAGAGGGTTGACAAAGATCTTTTGCCACGAGATATTCTTGTTGCAAGATTTGGAGTTTCAAAAAGGAGAGAAGCTTTCTTGTACATCGAAACGCTTAATTACGTAAAAAGAGAGCATTGTCGGTGTGTACGTGCGTGCGTATATGCGTGTGTGAGTGTCTCTCTCTCTCTCTCTCTCTCTCTCTCTCTCTCTCTCTCTTTCTCTCTCTACTTGTCGTCGTTTCACTACGATAAAACGTATCATCGTCGTATAAGCGTAGTTTTTACGGTCTTTTACCGTTCCAACGTCGGAAGATGGAAATTACACGGAGTAAAGAGAAAGATAAAGATAAAGAGAGGGAGCGAAAGAGATAGTGATAGTGAGTAAGAGAGAGAGAGAGGGAGACAGCTTGTTTACGAGAAGATGAGCTCGCGCAGCGGTTTAATGCGTGTTTAATTTGTCCCATTTTGAGGGCCCTGCGTCGCATAATTAATTTCAATTAATTATCTCGTCACTCGGGGTCATTCTCTTTATCTCTCCGCTCGTTCTCATTTTAAAATAGATAGGTATACGTAAATAAATCTTAAGATAAGAATTCGAATTATATTTACTCTTTCTCTTTTTCTTTTTTTTTTCTTTTTCAATGTTTCTCTTCTTTATATTTCATTCATTCATTCATTCATTCATTCATTCATTCATTCATTCATTTATTTATTCATTTCTTTATTTATTTATCACCATTTCGTTTCTTTCTACGTGTGCTCGAAAATAAACAATTTTTCCATTCGTATCGATATCGTACAATTGCATTACACGCAATAATTGTTTGCATGAATTTTTAATATATATTTCACTTACTCTCTCTTTCTCTCTCTCTCTCTCTCTCTCTTTCTCTTTCTGGACACGTATATGAAGAAAGGAACATGAATTTATTATATTTTTTTTCTTTCCTTCTTTTTTTATCACAATCATTTCGTGGACGAGAGATAATCGATTGGACAACGGGCAATTAATAATAATTCTCGCTTTTACGAGGAACGTTTTATCAAGTAAGAGAGAGAGAGAGAGAGAGAGAGAGAGAGAGAGAGAGAGAGAGAGAGAGAGAAAGAGGGAAATAAAATCGACCGATCCTTTCTATCGATTCGAAATCGAATGTCGCACTTTTCGCTTTTGGATGAGTGAGATGAGCGTATAGTATGGGAAAGGGAAAGATATATATACGTACACACACACACACACACATGTACATATATATATATATATATATAAGAGAGAGAGAAAAAAACAGAATGCGTTATGAAGCGACGGACGAAATTGGGACACGCATTAATACGTAATTATCAGTCGAAATGACCGTCGTCGTCACGGATTTCGACCACGATGGATGAGCTCGGCCAATATCGAGCCAATAAAAAATTCAACCCTCTTCTAAATTCGTGGCTGCGGGATTGGAGTAACCGAGGAGTAATCCGAAAATGAGAGGCCTATCTCTATATACACATCTCTATCTCGACACGCATACATATCTGTATATATATGTGTGTGTGTATACTATATATATATGTATGTATATATATATATATATCTATATATTTCGTGAATAGTAAGTGGCCTCCATGTACATAGATGTGTGTGTGTGTGTGTGTGTGTACGTATACTTTTTTTCAATTTCTCATTCGTCTTTTTTAGGTTCAACTATCGGGACTATCTTTTGCAATCACTATTGCAAAAAACGTGCTCTCGTTTCTATAACTTTCGATAGAAATGGAATTTTTCAATTTCGTTTGAAGTTCTCCACGTACGTATACATGCGTAAGTACGTGTATCCATGCGTACTCGTATCTCTGTGTAATGTGCGTATTTTTGCTTATATCGAGCCAAGCATACGGATAAATGTTTTCCTTTGTTCTGTTTTTTTTTTTCTTTTCATTCCTCTTTCTCTCTCTCTCTCTCTTTTTTTTTTCTTTTCTTTTTTTTTCTTTTTTATCTCAACCCGAGCAACAAATTGCTCGAATCAAATCTAACGAAATTTTGTGCGCTGTTGTTTATTTGCTATAGCGCGAATGGTACTACCAGTATCGATTGTCAGATCGATCTTTCGAAAAGTTTTCCCTCGAATGACGTTCGTTTTATTCCATATACGATTTTACAAGTCGAAAATTTAATCGAACGATCGAATCGACATCGTCGCGACATTTAATGGAAAAGTCTTTCTTCTTTTTCTTTTTCTTTTTCTTTTTCTTTTTCTTTTTTTTTTTTTTTTTTTTTTGTATTTCAGATCGAATTAACCAGACGATTAAATATAAAAATAATCTTTCATTTGTGAAGAATTACAAATATAGTTCTCGTTCGATAAATGTTATTCACTTTTATCTCTTTTATAGATATATTCATGTATAAACTTTGTATACAGAGCATTAAAGTTTACATATTTATTCATAATTGCATTTTTTCGTTCGAATATAAACAAAGGGGGGGGGAGGGAAAGAAAGAAATGAAAAAGAGAAGAACGAGAGCAAAGGAAAAAAAAGAGAACAAAGAAAAATTGATCGAAGTTGAAAAAATGGCTGGACTGACTTTATACGTCGTAAAATATGTAACATTTGTAAAATTGTATGAAACGTTTACGAATTCAGGATGAGCGAGAAATTTAATTGATAATCTCCCGTGTGTCTACTCTGACGTACTGCCACTAGATTTAAATGGATGTAATATCTCTGAATAGAAAAACGATGCTCTCTTTCGAAGCTTTCTAGAAGTAATCTCTCTCTCTCTCTCTCCCTCTCTCTCTCTCTCTCTCTCTCTCTCTATCTGTCTGTCTGTCTGTCTATCCTATATCTGTCCGCCTATATGTCTTCTGTCTTTCTAATTACTTGACCGGTCATTAAAATATTTTGAGAATTAAATGTATAAAAAAGTAATAGAGGGAAATTTTTTAAATCATAGAATTCGTATATACATACATACATACATATATATATATGGACATAAAATTAAATAATTATAAATTTATATAAAATTGTGATTAAAGAGGTACGAAGTGATTAAAAAAAAAAAAAAGAAAAAAAAAACAGAAGAAAAAAAGGATGAAAATCTACACTTACTTCGGCTGGAAAAGCATAATCGTCGACACGATGTTCAGAGCCATGATTATCGTCCAATCCGTAATGAATATATATCTCTTCGAATTGATAATGATATGCTAACGGACCACCCGTTATATTGACTCTTATTTTGGCCTCTTTGTCCGCTCGGAAGACCAGAAACTGGCCGGTGTTGTGCAAGTGTCCGGAAACCTGAAAAGAATGATTTCCATTTACATCTACGATATATATATATATATAAACGTACATATATAAATATATATATATATATAAGACTACGGTAGTAAGTAATATCCATATATATCTACATAGATCCATATAAATAATCTCTGTATGTGTTTGCTGCGTATGTAGAAGCCGTAGAAGTAGAAAATTGGGTGGTTTCGCGTATCGAGCGATAAATTAAGTCGATCGTACGGCTCGAAACGGTGGAAAATAGCGCCGTTTCAATAGATCAGGGTTGCCGAACGAACACCCACACACACACACACACACACCTACATACTCACATATACTGTTACACACACGCACGCATGCACACATATACGTGCGCATATATATGTATATATATATATAAACTATTCCTCGTATTCTCTCTCCTTCTCTCTCTTACTAATGTTGGTTGGTCGTTCGACGATCGAGAAACGTGTTTTGAGGTGGAGAAGCAAGAAAGGCAGCAGTGCAACCGTCCGTTCTTCGTCGGATAATTGATTAGGCATTTAATTGGACGGAATAGCAAAGGTGAAGAGAAATAGAGAGAAGGAGATGGGTAGAAGGAGATAGACAGACAGAGATAGAATATGCGATAGCATATATGTATGTATCTATACATATATATATATATATATACGGACGGACGTGGGCGCGCGCGAGCGTTTCGCGAGAGAAGTGCAAGTCGAGCCACGGCAAGTCCATTTTCTTGTACGTCGTCCTTTCTGGCGCGTTAGGAGGACCTGAATTATGGCGTCATCAGTTAGAAATAATGAGCCTCGTGTCCTACGGCACGTAGAAATGCGCGTCAGCGAAAGTCCAACCGAGATAACTTACGTATTTCGCGATAGATTTACTTTCGGTTATCTACGAATTGTATTACTAATGAACATATCTGCGAATTTAGTTTATTACGATTATATACAAATTTATTCGAGATTTTATGCCAAACGGACGACGATTTTGTTTCTTTTTTTTCTTATTTCCTTTTTGTATGTATCCACCTCTTTTCTCCCCTGCTCGTCTTCTTTTCTTTTTTCTTTGTTTTTTTTCTTTGGCAATTTCTTTGTCGTTAATTAATCTTTATTAAGAAAGGATAACGATAGGATGATCGAGAGGCAATCATTATTCTTCGCTCAGTTGATACTTACATAAATAAAAAAAAGCTCAGAGCAGGCAAGTGAGTGACAAGGATCTCTCACTCTCTCTCTCTCTCTCTTTCTTTCTTTCTCTCTCTCTTTATCTCCTATCGATATCAAGAACGTTCGAAGTTGTCACTTTCCTTCCCCCTTAAACCCGGTCGCCCCTGGTCCCGATTTAATTGATAAATAACGCATCCTCCTTAACCAGTTTTAAGAGAGAAGATAAGAGAAGAGAAGAAAGGAGAGGGGAAAGAGAAGGGAAGTTTTCCTCTTCGTGGAAGAAGAGATCGATCGAGACGAAACGGCGATTCGAGTCTTCTTGCACTGACAGAGAAAAATGAAGATGGCCATTGGCTTTCCCTTCGAAGAAAGGAGAGTCGTCGTTGGTGTGCATAAGTCATTATTTCGCGATAGATATTAGAACGGGCTGTGGTGGCACCTCGATCCAACCCCGTGGAATAATTCTCTGAGATTCCTTTCAAAAGTCCTACCATCTTTAGTAATACCCCCGATAAACCCGGCCAACCCCCTTTTCTGTCTCTCTCTCTCTCATTCTCTCTCTCACCCTCTCTCATCCAACTATTCCCTCTCTCTTTTTCTTTATATATTTTTTTCCTTCTTCTTCCTTCTTTTTTGTTTCTTTTTTTCTTTTTTATTTTTTTCTTCTTTCTTTCTTTCTTTCTTTCTTTCTTTCTTTCTTTTTATCTCTCAGAACCACCATCGTGGACTTCGAAGGTGGATCAATGGAAGAACTGCCTGAGGAAAAAGACTCACCGGTTCTAAACGACTCGCGGTCTAGACACCAAGGAGGCCGCACAAAAGCTCTCTATCCTTCTTCTCGCGAAAGCTCAAAGTTCCTAAGAGAAAGTGACTGAGAAGGAGGAAGAGAGAGAGAGAGAGAGAGAGAGAGAGAGAGAGAGAAAGAGGAGTGGGGATGATTCGGTCTAAGGTGAAAGGGATCATCCTTTCCGTCTTTCATCGGCGACGGTAACGTTTCTAAGAGATCGTTCGAGGGCAAGGAGTCGTATGAAATTCTCTCGGTTGTCACGAAAAGAGAAACGTCTGCTTAGTCTTTTTACCTCGTCTTCCCCCGTTCTCCCCGTTCTCGTTCCCCTCTCTTATCACCCCCACCCCCCAAAAAAAAAGAAACAAAAATCTATTCGATTTATCGTAACAATTACAATTAGCTATTATTCTTAAAAGAATAAAATCCGTTCAGGAGCTTGACGTTTTTTCGACATTAAAAATAAAAGACGTGAAGGATCATTGAACTCGTTAAAATGAAAATAAAAAGAAAAGAAAAGAAAAAATTAATCCACTCTCTTCGAATAGATTTTAATTCGATTTAAGTCTCGTGATAAATGATAATTCTGACAAATAATTTGTCTAAAGGGTTGAGCAAAAAAAAAAGAAATTGGATCTATTTAAAATAAGACTTGAACATAAAAAATAGAGAGTCGATGGAATTTCCACGTATATAATTGCCACACAACGTATCGTTAGGAACGGTGAGAGAAAGAGAGAAAGATAGAGGGACAAATATTAGATGTTTTTTTACGTGGAGCTCCTCGAAAAGGGGACGATCCTCCAAACGTTTCCTTCATTTTCGATGATAATCCAATCGAGATTGTCTTTTAATTAATCTAATTTGCAAGAGGACGAACTATTACCACATTTCGACTTAGTAATAGATTAGAAATATCTTCCCGCCGTGGTTCGTGAAAAGTATATTAACCGGTCGTTCTAATCGAAAATAAAGTTATCTCGTTATCATTAATATTTTATTTTAAAGAATCGTGAGATTAGATTTCAATTTTATTATTTCATTTATTTATTTCTATGAAAAGAAATCTTGATTTATAATGTATTTACGTTATCGTTAATAGTAGGTGTAACGTTAAGATACTTATCTACATTAAGTTATTTAAATGAGATAATAGATTTTTATCATTAAAAATATAGATAATTATTATCGAATATAAATGATCAGATATGATATTTATTATATCTTAATTTAACATTACGATTTATTTTTAACTTTATCTGTTATTTTCTATTTTTCATTCGATAGAAATGAAATGATTTATTTAATATCGATTTAACAATTGATACATTATAGAAATAAACAAGATCTAAAATATGGACGATAAAATAGAGATAGATAGAGAGAGAGAGAGAGAGAGAGAGAGAGAGAGAGAAAGAGAGAGAGAGACTATAGGTAGCTAATCGTGAATCGTCTTTTGTGTCAGTCGTGCGTCCATGTAGCCTCGAGGGAGCCCTTCGTTCGATGTCTAGTAACATTGATTGCACTTACGAGCGTCCATTACACTTGTCTAACTACTGGCCCCTTGTAAATCGTCCTCGTATAATACATACGTCTTCGATGTCTGTATACATTTTGTTTTCTCCCCCTCTCTTTCTCTCTCTCTCTCTCCCTCTCTATCATCCGCACGCGTAGAACAACCTGGAAACTCATCTAAGGCATTATATTCATATATACATACATACATTCATACATAAATATATACATACATACATACATACGCGGGAATTACTTTAGAGTAGACGAGTGTATTGCTTGGAGCCAACAGCTAACATAATGAGACATTCTATTTCGTAAACAATCGCTCGGAGAATCGCAGAAAGGAAGGAAGGAAGGATGGATGGATGGATGAATGGATGGTTGGATGGATGCATGGATGGTAGGAAGGAAGTCAGCTTACGAGTATGTACATATGCATATTATACGAAAACTACCGAAATCTATTTCTAGGTTCTATCTCTTATCTGATTTTTCTTGATTAAAAGATAGAAAGATTAAATTGTTGTTTAATTTGATATCAAATGATTGTTAGCGATCGTTCGAGTAACGTTCAACGTTTTTTCCTTTTTTTTTTCTTTTTTTTTTTTCTTTTTTTTTTTTGTTTATTTTCTTTCGTTGATACCTCATATACGATTTCTTTTTTCCTAAAGGACGAAAGACCTTTTTAATGTATATGTGATCGAAGGAATCTTAAGAATTATTCGAGCAATATTTTTGTTTATATGTATATATATATATATATATATTTTTTTTTTGGTGGCACATTGTATCTGATTTTTTGGTTAAAAGATAAAATTAGAGATTAAATTGAAAATGTGATGTCAAAGAATTGAACAGTGAATATTTTTCTCTTTCTCGTTTTGTTCTTTCTTTTCTTTTCTTTTCTTTTTTTTTTTTTTTTTATCTTAGAAACAAACAATAATACTCGGACATTATTAATATCATAAGTATCGTGAATTCATGGACGATAAACTTTCGCGGTATTCATTTTGTTCCAGACATCCAACCGACGAATATTCGACGAATTTCCGTGAGATCGACTGAATCATCCGTTAGCGTAACTTGTGGAAATAGCAGATATCTCGAACGTTAACGTTTCCCCCATTAACGTGATATTCGTTCTTACCGTGCCATGTCGATGAACCCCGTGGACCGCGGACGTTCATGAATTCAAATCCCTTGATTAACGTCGCTAATATTCACCACGGTTACATATATCCCTTTGATTCGTCCAAAATCGTTGTCATTGGCCGACGATGTAATTTCGAGAACCATTGGAACGTTCTATTCTAATAGAAATAATTTCAACGTCTGATTGAGAATTAGACTTTGATTGCATTATCTCATGACATTAATATGAAGAATATTCAAAGAAGATGCATTGAGACAGAAAGAGAGAGAGAGAGAGAGAGAGAGAGAGAGATTTAGTCGAGTATTAGTAAATGAAAATCTAGACAACTGACCAAAGTGAATCGTGTTTCCCTTTGAAACGTGAACGAATATTAGGAAAGTACGAGCATCCGAATCGTTTGGATCAACGGCAACAACCACTAACATCAATGTTGGACCAACCACCACTACCACCACCACCACCACCACCACCACATCTATCTAGTTTGATCGTTTCTCTTCTATGTAGGATCTACGTTAGGAGTGGTTTAGGGTTGCCGAGAGAAAGAGAGAGACAGAGAGATAGAGAGATAGAGAGAGAGAAAGAGAGAAAGAGAAAGAGGAGAGAGAGAGAGAGAGAGAGAGAGAGAGAGGATTCCAGAGGGTTCGACGTAGATATCTACAGATATTTCGAGAGGAAAACGGAAGTGAACGTAAAGAGAAAGGTACAAAGAGAGTGGGTGAGAGTGGGTTAAAGGGGGATGGGGTAAAGGAAGGTGGGAGGAGGGCTAAATTGGAGTGGGGACTCAGGAGAAGACGTACATTCGACTCCCAAAGGCGGTGCTGGTGCTGCTGGTGGCGATGGCGATGACGATGGCGATGGCGATGGCGATGGCGATGGCGGCGGCGGCGGCGGCGGCAAGGCAGCGGCGGCGGCGGCGGTGGTTCGTTCTATTGTTTAATTTAAGTGCCAAAGTTTTAACCGGGTTGAATGCCGTATAAATTCACGAGGTTCGAGCTGCTTTAGTCGGCTCCTCTTTTCTCTCTCTCTCTCTCTCTCTCTCTCTCTCTTTCTATCTCTCATCTTTCTCACTCTTACAATCCGGGATGGGTGCCGATCCCGAAGCGCGCTGAAACCGCGATTAAATAGCCCGGGACCAGGTGTGACGTCACTGCGGTTTTCATCGCGGTATTTAAGTTCTCGACTAGGACGCGAATTTTCGTATTATCTTATCTTGTTCATCTTTTCCTTCTTCTTTTCTCTCTCTCTCTCTCTCTCTCTCTCTCTCTCTCTCTCTCTCTCTCTCTCTCTCTCTCTTTCTTTTTAACTTTTTTCTTATTTTCTCCTTTCTTTGGTTTTTTCCCCTTCTTTTTTTGTTTCTCTTCTGGCCGACGATGAGAGATAGACGGCATTCTTCGTTCGTTTTCTTCGTCGGACGCCAAGATTTCGTCGTTCAAAGATACGATGTTCATTTCTTTGAGAACGATAGAATTTTTAAGGATTATTTTTCTTTCTTCCTTTCTTTTTTCTTTTTTTTCTTTTTCTTCTTCTTCTTCACGATCACAATGTAATCGCAATTGATCGTCGTCGTGCAATACGTTTGTCAAAACGATAAATTATTTGTAAGTGAAGAGGTTTGGTGATGACAGGGCGAACGAGATAAAAAAAGAGAAAAAGACGAAAGATAAAAGAAAAGAAAGAAAGGAAAAGAGAAATGAAAGGGAAGTGAAGAGAAATATTCTATTCTATAGTTTGTCATTAAAATAATTCTTTATTCCTTCGATTTCACGTGGCTCAAAATCTAAATATAAATTTAAAAGTGAACGCGTATGTTCGTATCGAGCGAGAAATGCGTTCTCCCTTGTGTACATTAGTACGAAACGACTCCGGTGGTAAAATTCATTGCATCCGTAATCAGTGAATCCTTAAGTGCGCGCGTCTGATAGCAGTGCGAGAACGAGAGGGATCGAATAAATGTTTACTCGATGGAAGATCGCTGCTTTTACGAGATTCGCTTGTATTACCGGTTGAACGATGAGAGAGAGAGAGAGAGGGAGAGAGAGAGAGAGAGAGACAAACAGAGAGAGAAAGAGAGATAGAGAGAGAGAGAGAGAGAGTAAAAGAGGAGTGGTAAAGAGGGTTGGAACGGTCCGTTAAACAGACGCGTTCTCGTAATTAATGGTATTATTATCGAATTAACGGAGAGAACCGCGAAAAACGTGCTGCACAAAAAAGCTCCCTTGGTGATTTGAAATCCATTAACTTGTTCTCACTATTTATATATATATATATATACTTTTTTTATGTATATATATATATATATATATATATATATATATATATATATATGTATGTATGTATAATATATTTTTTTTTCTCTTTCTCTTTCTCTTTTTACCTGTCCTATCATTGCTCGTTCGTGCTATTAATTCGTTAATTTTATCTTGATTTTATCATGAACTATTAATGTGTAGTAAGTATTACATGAGTATTATATATATATATATATATATATATATATATATCAATGTGATATATATATATCAACGATACGATTGTACAGGATGATACATTTTAAATAGGAATTATTTATGAGGTTCGAAAGATATAAATATTACCAGCTGAAATGTTCCATCATTCGTAATATCGTCGTTAATAAGATCTTTATAAAATTATTTTTCGTCGGATATCAAAATTATAATATAGATTTACAACGAAAAGAAAAATATCTAGATAGATTTTTCTTTTATCCGATTAAACGAATCTATCTGATCGCTTTGAAATCAATCGTTTTTACGTTTGCCACTGTTTGACATAGTGCAAACAAAAACGAGAAAGGAAGGTATTTTAGGAAGAGTCAGAGAACGGTATAATTACAATGGGGGATTTAAAAACTACGCTTACACACACACACACACACACACACATATATATACGATTTAACGCTTCGTCAGCGAGATCGGCGGGTTGCGTTAAACGTCGAAACGACCTGTTGATAAAAGTGATCTCGTTGAACGGAACGATTCTGTCAGCGAAATACTAGATATATAGTAAGGCCCAAAATCGAAACAATCTCGTCGACGAAGCGATTCTGTCATCGAGTTTCCCATCGTTGAGAAAATCTGAAAAGAGGGACAGAGGGAGAGGGAGAGAGAGAGAGAGAGAGAGAAAGTGTGCCGTCGCCGAGGGAGACGTGTCTTCGTTCGTCGAATCTTCTTTTTCTTTTTCTCCTTATTCTTCTTCTTGTTCTTCTTCTTCTTCCACTTCGTAGATGTTTTAATCTTCTTCGAATGTCGCGTAGCACAGTGGATTTTCAGGGTGGAACGTCCGAAGAATTATACGAACTTTTGATGGAAATAGTGATATTCGAAGTTGACGAATAATATTCGCGATTTAAATTTTTTCTTTTTTTTTTTCTTTTTTTTTTTTTTTTAAATCTCTCAGTATCCTCATCCGTCATGATATCTGTCTCGTAGTTAGATTATTTCATTTAATTTTTTTTCTTTTTATTGTTTTATTATTCGCGTTTCTTTTCTTTTTCTTTTTTTTTTTTTCTCTTTTTTTCCTTTTTTTTTCAATCATTTCTATAGATATTTCGTATGAAAGTTTCTCTTTTTCTTTCTTTCCTTTTTTTACTTTCTTTACTTTCTTCGAAACTTTTCATTACGTTCTATTGCATTACGTATACATATATTATAATTAGATTAAGAAAGTTTTCGGTAATTTTCGAAGCTTTCTTA